GATAATCGCATTTGGGATGGTTTATACACTGTGCAAAGAAACTAGTGCTCTGTTGCACAGGCCTGCTTCATGCAAGTAAAACCCTCATAATAAAAGAAAAGAAAAAATTCAAGAAGGAGAGAGACTGACTACTGTAAGACTAGAAGTGTGACTCCGTTGATGGAGTGCTCATGCAGAATACACGAAGCTCTGAGCCAGGTCCCCAGCACAGCACAAACCAGACATCCGGATAATCAGTGATCTCGGCATGTAGGAGACACAGGCAGAAGGACCTAGCGTCGTATGAAGTTCAATGCTAAGCCAGGCAGAGCTACGTGAGATCTTACCTTAAAAAAAGACAAACAAACAAAAAAGACTGTTGTAATCATTTAAACAAGTTATTTTGGTTACTTCCATTGCAGTTTAGCTGAAAGCAAAGGTGAAAAGAGAGTGGTTGTGTTGGTATAGATTTCTTGAATGAATAGCCCTTGAATTGGTCATCTGGTAGAGAGGAAATTTTTATTTTAACAAAGTCCTTTTGGCATGGATGTTACTAAACTATTTTAAACAGGTTTCTAAGATTCATTTACCAGTAAAGTCCATGTCTACCTCATCATATGTAAGTCAGTGTTAAATTATTACTAGGTCTACCTAAGAAACAAGGCATAACAGTACAAACTTCCTCATACTTATTTTACAACTTCAAAAAGGAAGAAAACACCCAAAGCACCATGACTTTGTGGAGGGGGCATCACAAGGCAAACCAGGAGACAGGCTCAAGGCAGTACTGGCATTGGTATCTTGTGGGGGCAGAATATTTGACCGTGTGAGGCTTCTTTGCCCCTTGGCCAGTCCAATTCAAACAGCACATTACTATATGTCTCTGTTTACGATGTGATCGTACCTGCAAATATCTCATGTGCCTGAGGGCAGGCTTCACTATCTCTGACCTTTCCAGGGTCCAGTGCTCATCCTAAGCACCTGCCTCTCGGCCCACCTTCTCCTAACCTGACCAGAAGGACCCCCACCCACAAGTTAAACTGCTTTTACTCATGTCCGTCAACAACTGTATTTAATGTACAAGGTATACACAATTGTGTATCTATTACAACATATACAATATAATATACATACACTGTATTTAATATACAGTTTAGAGATGTCTCCTGTGTGGCCCAAGAGATTCGTTCTCGGGAAAACAAGAAAATTTCACTTTCAAACTTTGTGATAAGATACAGGACAGTCATTCCGACCCACTTTTCCATGACTTCAGCGTTACCCGGAAGAGCCTCCGGAACACGTTTTAATAAACATTTTAATTTCATATAGTAGACTTTTCTGTAGTAATGACCAAAATAACAAGGAGTGATCCTTACAATCTGAAAGGACACAAACAGTGCACCCTGCGTGAAATGCAGCGGAAGCTCTTCCGTCCTTTTTGTATTAGAAAACAGGCTTAGTAAAGTGCTTGCCTCCCAAAGTCTGATTTTCGTTCAGATCATTTGCTCCCTAGAATAAACCCAGACCTTCAACTACATGGGCTGAGCTGCCTTCAAAACTACATTAGGAGCTCCCAGTGGTGGCACTGTCTGTGACTCCAGAGATTGAAACAGAAACAGAAGATATAACCTGGGTTACATAGGGTGTTTCAGGCTAGCCTGAGCTGCAAAGACACCCAGGTGAATGGCAGGAGAACCCCTGTATTACAGATCATATGGGATACAAAATGTGAACCAAAGAACCACCAAGAATCTTTCTCTAGTTGTTATTATTGCCATTTGTCCGCCATAAATCTTAGTACTGTGGCAACTGATCTACAGACAATTCACTGATAATATAGAAGATGGGGTGTTTAGCACCCTTTTGGTGATTATCTAGGATGCCTTCTAGCCATGAGCTGGGAGTAGAAGGAAAGAATAAAAAATTTCTGTTTAAAGGAAGATTCCTCCCAATCCCCCAAACATAAAGTTGTGGCATAGAATTCAGTTCAAAAGAAGCCGGCTTGTGATGTTTTCCTTCCCATAAAAAAGGGGGGGGGAGGGCCAAATCATCCAAGTGCGGTGGAATCAAATCTGAACTTCCTGAAAACGTATCAGCTGATAAAGCAGGATTGAAGTTCAAGGACACATTCCATCCCTAATCTTCATTTTACAACTTTTGGAGATAAATTTTCCTTAGCACTAAAATCTTTCAAAGACAGCCTTTCTGGGAAAACAAATTGTTACAAGTGTGCGATAAATTGGCCAGATGCCGCCGGGACATGAGCAGTGATTTAGACGTAAGGTAAGGATGGCTCTATCGCCTATGTTTAAAGTCTTCTGTTTACGGCAGAGAAATGGCCACATTCAAAGCAATCCTCTGGCTGTAGTAAGGGTTAATTAGCTTCCCAAAAGTGCTTTTCTTCTCACAGAATATAGTTTATATTTGGGGTGGGGGGGGGGATTTGGCAGAGCTTAAGTTACAGCCTAACCGATTTGTTCAGTGGAATCCAACACTCAGTCACTTTTCTCCACCCATTTAGCCCTTAACGTTTATTAGCAGAGATAGATACACAATTCAAGAGGGAAAAAAAAGTATTATTAATTTCCTTTCTTCAGAATTTGGCACCAAGATATCTAAAGGGTAGCCTTCTTCTCATCTCATCCCCAAACTGATGGCCATTTCTTGCAAAATTTCAGAAATTTCTCAAACCTCATTACCAATCCTCCAGTCCGTCCTTACCAGCCTGAATATATCACGGAGAGATAAATAGCCAGGAGACTTAATTATTGCTTACATTGCTATAAAGAAAAATTAATTGCAGTCATAAAAACTATGTTATGATATAATGACTAGCTATGCTCTGTTCTAGAAACTGCTATTTTTAAGTTTCCAACACAGGGCGGGGTGGAGGGGAGCAGCAGTCCTCAGAGGAATGTGTTTCTGTGGTTGACACTCTTGCCCAAAAAGAAAAGGAAAGGACAAATGGGGTGGGGCCCCAAGAATGAAAATAAAAATTTCTACAGTTTAGCAATCTGGTAATAAGGCCATTGTCAATATTCTTAATCATCACCTCGTTCTATAAGGCAAATAAAACCTTGTGGCTATTCTGCAGTCATCTCAGTTGATACACACACACACACACACACACACACACACCACAAAGTATTGGCCCATTCTCATACAGCTCCTTATTCTTAAAGTTAGCAGCTTTCCTATCTTACTGAAACAGAGAAAAGGGAGCACTGGGCAAATCAAAGAAGGTTATTTTGGAAATCAGCGAGGAACCTTCTAGCAAGCTTGCTGGGTGTTCCCCTTAAACTCGGCTGTGTTGTAGCACTCGTTCATTTGTGCATGAAGACAAAGGCAACTTCAACTTGATATTTCTGTCATCCCTGCAGTGGGAAGAGTCCTTTCCTCGTTTATAACATCAATCACTCTTGCAATAAATCTTAGGAGTGGATATGGTCATTTAAATCTCCACCTGCACAAACAACAGAAAATAAGAGCTCATAAATCTCTACACTGGTGATTAACAAATTTTGGATCCTCAGGAAAGACATTATGAGAGGGGAGGAGAGGGTTCACTAATTCATTAATAAAGACTGATTTGCTGACAATCTGTTTAGTTTACAGCATAGGGGGAAAGCAAACAAATCTCTGCTAACAAAACAAAGCGTTAGAGGTTGGTGAATTCCCATCTGAGCCTGGATTAGAGAGGCAGATCTGAGCGGAACAGAGTCAGATGCTGAGAGCTCCTCTAGTGTCTCTCCTGTCCCCCTCCTCAGTGTCCGTTTGTAAGACCAGAAAATCTGACGCAGGGTGGGGGTGGCGGGAGAGAGCCATCTCATCTCCCTGGTTCCTCGGCATCTATTTTATTCCATCCTTGGGTTCTGCTTCCATTGGCTTCCATTCTCTTCTTACCCACCCCCTATCCCCCAGAAAATCATTTCATTCCTGGAGAAAGATGGTCCCCGGTGGAGTTAAGGCTGGAAGCTGGTCTTTTCTGAAAGCCATGTCCCAGTTTGTGTCTTCTTAAGCCAAGAGGAGTGGAGAAGAGGAGAAAGGCAGGGGCCTGAGCAGGAAATCTGCAGTTTTTACGAAAGGTATCAGGCAAAGAGATGTCCGGGAGTGACTGACTCTTTAAGACCCTGTGGAATGAATGTCTGGCAAGAATTTGCACAAAAGTTTTTATCCCACTAGGAAAAGATTCTCAGCTAGCAAAATATGCTCCACAAAATCGTATGATCTCTCTCATTCTCTCCTTATCTCCTGCCAGCACTGTGTGTGTGTGTGTGTACATGTGCATGTCAAATGTGTTCCTATACACTAGCAGTTCCCCAGTACCTTCAAATTAACAGTTTATTAATGGAGGGGTTTTTTTTTCTTTGTTTCTCTTCCTCTCCAGTACCACAAAGATTCCACTAAAGGCTTTCTTTCCCAATTTACCTCAGGTAAAACTGAAACAGTAAAGTGCATCTGAGGAAAAAAAAAAAATCGGCTCCGTGATCTGCATTTGCTTTTCGAAAATTTGGATCGGTGGACACGACCGAGGTAAAATAAGTCTCTCTTCATCGTGACTGATAGGGCTTTGGGACTGCTGATATCACCCAGTACATGGGAATGCAGTCTTCGTAAAACCCTGTGGTCTTATGGGGTCTTAGCCAGGGCCAGCTGGATTTTAATTGGTATTTTGATGGAGGAGGATTGCCTGCGAGATGCTTTAGGGGGAAGCAAAGGACCTGGCCATCTTTCTGAGATTCTCAGTAACAATCAGTTGAGATTCCCTTAGAGAAAAGGGGGACCCTAGGAGGTGAGCAGGGGCAAGCTGAGTAGCGCTAGTATTCCCTTCCCTCGGTCCAGGATGGAAGAAAGAAACTGGTACATGCACATTGCAATGGATTGCTGGAAACCCGAGTCTGTGCCTCAGAGTCTCCAGTGCTTCTGAAAGGGGTCTAGGAAGTCTGTAGGGCCTACCAGGCCCCTCCCCTGGGCTGCATGGATCCGCCTCTCTATTCCCTAGATAAATTCCTAGTGTTCACCAAATTCCTCGGCGCTCTCTCTCTCTCTCTTCATTAAGGCCGGGACTCCGGGGGTGGGGAAATAGAGCGCTGGTTTCCCTGTCGCAGGTTCCCTTGTGGTCGCTTCCACAATTCAGCCAGGGGAAGCTCTGAGACTGGGCTGCCAGATCCCAACTCGAACCCAATACACGAAGTGGCAGCTCCATTCTTTAAAGGCCCTTTAATATCTCTCTCTCTCTCTCTCTCTCTCTCTCTCTCTCTCTCTCTCTCTCTCTCTCTCTCTCTCTCTCTCTCTCTCTCTCTCTCTCTCTCTCTCTCTCTCTCTCTCCTTCCCCACCCCCTCTAAACATGTCCACTGGCTCCCTCAGTGATGTAGAAGACCTTCAAGAAGTGGAGATGCTGGAATGCGACTCCCTGAAAGTGGACTCCAACAAGGAGTTTGTGACTTCCAACGAGAGCACCGAGGAGGGCTCCAACTGTGAGAACGGGTCCCCACAGAAGGGTCGCGGTGGCCTGGGCAAGAGGAGGAAGGCGCCCACCAAGAAGAGCCCACTGAGTGGGGTCAGCCAGGAGGGGAAGCAGGTCCAGCGCAATGCAGCCAATGCGCGCGAGCGGGCCCGCATGCGGGTGCTGAGCAAGGCCTTCTCCAGACTCAAGACCACCCTGCCCTGGGTGCCCCCGGACACCAAGCTCTCCAAGCTGGACACGCTCAGGTTGGCGTCCAGCTACATCGCGCACTTGAGGCAGATCCTGGCCAACGACAAGTACGAGAACGGTTACATTCACCCAGTCAACCTGGTGAGTTCTCCCTCGCTGCTCGCTGGGCCTGGGAAAGCGGTCGATTCCCTGACACCTTGGTCACTGCTGGCCTACCACGTCTGGGGACTTTCGCGCGGGCTCCACGCAGCTCCCTGGCTTTCTGCACTGAGTCCTGAGATCCCGCGAGTGATTTGTGCAAGGGTTTGACGTGGCACCCCATTAAGGGATTTCCGAGGGTATTCAGCTGGCAAAGATGAGGGATCCCCGAGTAGGGTGCCAGCGCCATTTCCGCTGTTGTGAAACTGACAAGATGCTGGCCACCCATAAGACGTCTGACTCTATCTTTTTTAGCTAGGAGCAAAACTTAAGCTCCCCTTCTGATTCTTGTAAACATCCAACTCCGTTCTGTCCCCAAGTATATTTAGGACTATTAAATACAGACATATTTATGTCCCTCCACCTCCATAACTGTCCACGCAAATCCCTCGGCTACTTAAATATTCGGTGCGTGTCTAAGTAGATTACCATTTTTAAACCCCAGAAATTCCAGCTACTGTCAACATAATCAGTAAATCCCGCACAGGTCTTTTGAGTACTTAAGAGTATTTCAGTCATAGGTCCGATCAGTCACAACGAAGAGCGCCTTGGCTTTTCCTCAATAATTCGTTGGACATGAGTTGACCCTAATTTTTGAAAAGCAAATGCTGATTACTGAACCAATTCTCTCAGAGGCGTTTTACTGTTTAGGATTTTTTTTTAACTTCCTCTTTCGTTTGATTTCATTTTCAAACGTGCAGGCTTTAAGGGGGGGGGGAGCCACCTTACTAAGGACTTTGTTTACCTATGATAAGGTTGAGATATCCCTCTGGCGGGCACTCACAGAGAGGGCTGAGTCGTCTCCTTCAGCTGCTCTCGGGAACTGGGGGAGGGGGTGCTAAAACACATTTTGCCAGGAAAAATATTTTCCCTCCAAATAAAAGTTTATTTTTTTTAGGGTGTTGAGTAGCCTTTTTTTACAGCCTAAAACTAGAATGAGATTATCGATCAGAACATTTGTAATTGCTGCTACTTTCACCTTTAAGTATCAAAAAACAAAGAAAACTTTTTTTTTATTATTTGACAACCCAAAGAAAGGAAGAAAAAAGGAAAGAGGCGAACTTTGCTTTCTCCGTAATAGAGGGATCTTAGTTAAAATGCCACTATGTCTTTTATTAGCGCACACACCCTTCCTGGGATACTGACTGACTTCAAGTTGTAGTCATAGGTAGAATTGGATTGGGAGAGAAACGGGAGTCGATAAAAGCGAGAAGGCCTGGATGCTGGACCAGTGTCTCAGAGGATCCATAACTGCAGCCGGTAGTTGGGATAGCCATCGTACCCACCGGCCTTGCTCAGACCCCTAGAGTGTCTTCCTTGAGTCTGTGGCTGGGCTTCCTCTAAGGGTTTCACTTAAAACCCAGAATGGGACCTCTTTCGATCGCCGTACTTCTAAAAGTCCACCGCCGCCGCCACCTGAAGCTGTTTGCTTTATCCTGCCAGGCATTAACACACCTAGTAAACCGCAGACCTCCGGTGCTCACAGCCCTTGTGCAGGTGCCCCTCCGGTAACTAGGGCTCGGGGCTGACCCCTCCCCCCTGTCCAAGAGTTCTTACCTCCTCCGCCCTCTTCTCCCTTGCAGACGTGGCCCTTTATGGTGGCCGGCAAGCCTGAGAGTGACTTAAAGGAAGTGGTGACCGCGAGCCGTTTGTGTGGAACCACCGCGTCCTGACCTTGGAGGTGCGAGTCTGGGAACCTTGCGCTCCAGGGGCAGTGGGCCAGCGAGGGCGACGACCCCTGCCCTCCCCTCCCTGTCTCTGCTGCAGCCTTGCAGCGCTCCTCTCCCCCGTCACACCCCGCGCGAACACTTAACAGCGACGAGGAGATTCGTTTCCAAACCAAAGGAGACCAACTGTACTTACAGATTCCCATCTATTTAACTTTATTAACGTCTGCCATGAATGACTGCGAGCCTGGCTGGTCCAAGTGCAATATGTAATTATATATTATATATAAATAGATAATAAGAGCCTATCAATGTGTACCTTTTGTACAATATGTTGTAAAGTGTAGATCATAGAATAGCTGACTTTGACAGTCACATTTATAAAGTCACTCAAAGAAATATATTTTTTTCAAACAAGTTTTGCTACTTTCAAAAATAAATCTTTCTTTATATTGCTAAAAAGCCTAGGCATTGGTGTGATTTCTTTTTAAAAACTTTGTGAAGAACAGTGGAAAGAATGGAGATGTTTAATGATAAAAAAATAGTTCTCTTAACATTTAATCCAAGCTTCTAGTAAAAGATTAATTCCGATTCCCACTAGGAAAAGAGAAGTCGTGTTTCCCACCGAAAACCTTTTGAAGAGTTGTTGCCCGTTACTTTAAGCCCACGAAAAACACGATAACTGTAAATAGTAAGTAAACAGAATTACAGTCATCCGGTCACACAGACCCGAGGACAACGAAGAACAGAAAACCCAATTCTCCACTATTTTACAGTATAGCTGTTCAGAAGAGCAGGAAAATAAACTGCGAAAATTTTATAACTTTCCGTGGGCAACAGTGATTTAAAAAAATACCTGCTTGCAAATCAGTGAAGAGGGATTGGAGCTACATGTGAATTCCAAATGCAGAAGATAATCGTGCTTCTTTCTTCCTGATAATTCATTAATTGCAACACTAAATGTGCAAGCCTGCTTTTCAGGTGCGGTTATTACCCTTTGCGTTCAGCTCCGGCCAAGACTTCCGGCCAGGGCGGCCGGATCTTAACTTAAACATCTTCCAGGCTGAGGAACAGCCCATTGGGGAAGATTAGGTTGAGATAAACACAGAGGCGAGGCCGAGGAGCCTGGGACCCTGCTGCCTCTACCCTAGAGCAGCCCGCCGCGGCGCTGCGCCAGATGCCACCGCGGCTGTTTAATGTTCGGGGTTATGACCGCAGTGTTTACAAGACGCCCTCGGTTATTTATACTGTTATCCCTCGCAGAGGCCTTGAAACTTCCGTTTCGCTTGCTCTTTCTTTTCGACAACCCCCCCACCCCCACCCTTCCCAACACGCCCGCTTCTCTTTTTCTAACTGGATTTGATAGGTTTGGTACCTGGCGTTAGGATAACTTCCTCTCCTGCGCTGACACCTTCAGTCAACCCCAAAGGCCACGTGGGGCGGAGCAGGAGCGGTCCGGGAAACCTCTCCCCACTCCGGCTTGTCCCTCCAGGGAAGCCACAGGGCCACCAAAGCAAAAGTCATCCACTTCTGTTGACTCTTCTCCACGTAGCTTTCACACTTGCCATGGAGGGTATTTCAAGGTGTCCGGTGACTCCTCTAAACCATCCCATCTTGACTTTCAAGAGCTCAGTTCAAACTTGAGGCGTTGCCACCTGCTCATACTCACATAGGCCTTCACTTCCAACCTCAGAGAGGAGAGACAGGGTCCTCGCCAGGACTGATTCAGAGGGAAGGAAGGTTGGTATCGCCAACAAGATGCACTTACACGTGCCCTTAGCTCGGCAAGCATTCCCAAATTTCTAATCACGTTTTTGTTTTACAAACCAAGTAAATTCTTGACATTCTGAGCTCGTAGCACTGGCAACTTCTCAGAACCCTAGTTTCTTTCCTTTTCTATTACAAACTCACACGTTTTTAAAGCCTTTGTTCCTCCTACTTATAATCTGAAGCCTTGACTTGAGGAGAAAGGTTATGAGAAACCAAAGTCCTGGTCCCACTCAGGGCAGTTTCTTCACAGGGCCAGATTCTGTCTTCTCTTCCTTGCAAGTAAAAAATGATGATAACGCTAGTAATAATTGGATTTGTATTCTCCTCAGTCACTGCCCAAGCTTTTAATACAGCTCAATGAAATTCTAATACATGTGGCCTCTTTGTGAAAGACAGGACCTAGCAAATAAATATCCAATACTTGTATGAGTAGGCAGGTGGCTATCTATCGTACATCTAAACTAAAAGTGTTTGAGGCAGGAAGCTCAAATGGTGTGTTTTAATTGCAGAGACTGAACCGTGTCTCTCCACAGCACTGGCCTCCCCACGTTACTGTTCCACCTCTTGCCCGCGTTCTCGGAATTTGTCTAAAACTGTCTATCAAGGTGACTCCCACAAAATCCAGAACAGAGCTCAAGATGATGCTAACTAACATCGGGTGATGGGGCCAAACTCTCCTATCGAGGGGCTCAGCTGAGCTCTAGGTCTGGACATAGTTGTGTCCCCAGAATTAGAGGCTGGATGGATAAATGCAAATTCAGAGTTCGGAGAGCAAATAACTGAGTTTGGACTTCAAAAAACTCCCTGGGAGTGAGTGTTATGAGTGTTTCTCTCTCTCTCTCTCTCTCTCTCTCTCTCTCTCTCTCTCTCTCTCTCTCTCTCTCTCCTTCTCTCTCTCTCTCTCTCTCTCCCCCTAAACACCTCTCTGCCACTAGCCCTTCTAGAGCAAATGATACCCACACTCACCATGTTCAACTTCCCTATTCCTTTTGTTCTCACATCTTCCCCTAAGTCTGCAATTCTCTGACTACCTGGTACCCAGCCTGTGCCACAATTTATATGTAGTTGCAAATCAGGAATAGTGGACACCTTTGCCTCAAGCCAGAAGAGTCCAGAGTGAGGGATGAGGAGTGTCATGTGACATTTAAGCTATAAAAAGGATCTTGGGGAGAGCGCTTTCAGATGGACCAGGCAAATGACCAAATTACTGTAGCCACCTGGAAGGAAATGAAGTGCTTCAAACAGTTCTCAGACTCAGATTCCTAAGGCAGCAGCAAACGACACTCACTCTCCCTTGCTCCTACTCCCTCCCTCTCTCCCGCCCTCCCTCTCTCTCTGTCAATGTTTGTAAGATTAACAATTTTTATAAGCCAATCAGTGTACTTTTAGCAGGTGTGCCCACAGTCGAATCAAAGACTTACTCCAAAAAGCAACAATAAACAGAGTTCTAGTATTCACTGGGTATGTATCTCTAATCCTTAGCGAACACTTCCCAGGCGCCCTTTAAGTCTGGGCTGCTTCTGCTGGTCTCCAGGATAGACTGATTCGGGAGGTCTCAGGTAGGAGGTCTGAGAATTGGTGCCATTGGGTAATTTCTGTGCTTCTGTTGGTGGCCTGGGGACACTTTGAGAACTAGGATTTGAGGTGAATAATTAGGGAAGCAAAAAAGCATTAAAGCAGAGCAAAAGTGTGTGTGTGTGTGTGTGTGTGTGTGTGTGTGTGTGTGTGTGTGTCTTGGCAACTATGTTTAGCAGACAAACACTTGAATCCTGCCTCTAAGTTTTTCCCACCTCTTTTCTCACCATGCTTTCTCCCACCAAGGATTTCCAGGAATTTCTCATTAGTGTCTGACACAAACTGAGTGACTAATAATGAATATGATAAAGAGAATCAATCAGTTCTGAGCTCTAACTTGGTTCAGTTTTCTATTCATGCTACGATAACATGAACCTAACTGCCAGTCTAGAAAATCAAGTCGCACATCCTCAGGAAATATGAGATCGGTTCTGTCCTAGGGATGTGGCCCGACCGCGTAAGGGGCTCATCTTGCGCTCTAGAAAATAAATTCCAGCTATTAGCCGATGAATTAAGACCTGGGTGGAGTAGAGACCAGGGTACTGCTGGACTCCTTAGACTCCTAAGGAAGAAAGAACTCTGGGCAACGTGGACTCACACCTCTTGCAAGAGATTCCCTCCGCTTCATTCCTGATCAGCAGATTTCTGCCTCACTCGGGTGGGAAGGGCTTGTTCCAGTTCAGCGCGCTGTGCTTCAGGAAGTGGGAAAGTGGTAGACGCCAGGGATGAGGGTGAGCATGGGGTGAGCGCTTCGGTGAGGAGCGAGGGAGGAGGAGGGAAAGATCACCCCGGTTTTTACGGTCTGGAAGAGAATTTTATGGAAGATGGAAAAGATTTTATGGAAGGAGGCTTGGGTTCCCAGCCTGAAAGCCTGCAGTAATTTCGGTCCCTTTCGGGGTGCGGTCCCGGAACAGCTGCTGCATGTCCAGTTGCAGACACACTCAGGTTCAGGGAAGGTTCTAGGTCATTGTGGCACAGAGGGACACGCGGAAGCTGAGCACAGCTGGCCAGCAGAGCATCTTTTCTCAGCTTAGCACCCGTTCTTTCGAATTCTAGCTCTGCCTGTGGAAACTGTTGAAGCGAGCATGCAGCGGCATTTTTGAGTCTGAGTAGGCCATCTCCCTCCGACAGTCTTAGCTCCACATGGTCTCTGCTCTTTAGATGTAGGCTGGCTCTAGCCTTTTATCTCCCAGTTAACCACCTCAACCAGGGTGGAGCCCTACCCCACCCCCACTCCTCCACCCGGTGCAGAGCGGGGAGCAAAGGTGGGGAGGACAGGGAGCGGGAGCACTATCTTTTAGAACAACAGAGTTAGAATACCTAACTTGGTTTTGTACCCATCACCCACCATAGGGCCTGAGATCTCTTTAAACAAAAACACAAACAAAAACAAAAAAAAAAAAAAACAATAGTTTTAGGAATGTGAGGAAAGAAAAAGAAATAAAAATACTATTCCTGGGGTAAAACTCTAGTTGAGCCTCTTACCTTAAAGACAGGTACATGAGTCGAAGAAGAAATTCAGAAGAAAATAGAACTGTTAAAACCAGATAAAAATCCACAGGGGAGATCATCACTAGGTAAATTGTGTTTTTCTAGTGTCTTTAATCCCAACACTAGCACTTGGGAGGCAGAGGCAGATGGATCCTTGTAGTTTGAGGCCAGGCTGGTCCACTCTACATAGCGAGTTCCAGGACAGCCAGAACGACATAATAAAGAGACCCTGTCTCAAAAAGAAATAGAGGATAGATAGATAGATAGATAGATAGATAGATAGATAGATAGATAGATAGATAGAATATGAAAAATATGTAAAGTATGTGAAAGAATGATATTGATGTTCCTAATTATGAAGGCAATCGGAGATGGTTATTAATTTTTTGTGATGCTCAAATTGCATCAAGTCATGGAGAATACAATAAAGAGATTGCACTCAGCTCTCTCTCTCTCTTCTTCAGTGAGACCTCCATATTTTATCTGCAGTGAGCCCCGCCCTCACCTCTGTGTTCCTGTGCACAGTACCTCATCAGAAGAGGTAAATTTTCTCCATTTTCCTGCTTGGTCTGTGGTGTCCATCTCCACGAGCGGCATGAGAGCGGGGATTGACTATCTATGGCTAGCCAGT